GGTGGGGGGGGGAGGAAGAAGCTGTCTAGGAAAGGCATGGGGAGGGCAGCCCGACGGCGGGGGGGGGGTGTGAACATCGGACGTGTATACGGTTCCCCTAAAAGTGTGTAAAATTCAAAGTAGGTTATTAAAGTCCTTACCACGGGTAGACTCTCTCCTTTTAAGTTTTAATAGCGTTTGTTCGTATTTATTTTCTGTAATTAGAGTAAAGCATTTTCCCCAACGGGGGTTCCACTTAGGCTGATGAATTTTATTTCTCTTCCCATTAATGACCCATGTTTATCATACTTCTAATTATTTTTAACTTTAAACAATATTCGGTCTCCTGGAGACGCCTCTGTGCTGTTTCCTAACGTCACCTTTCTTTTCCCATGGCCAAAAAAACTCATCACGGCCAAGTTTCAAGACATATTCCGGTCGTATTTCAAAGAAAAATCTGATTTTATATTTATTCAGCCCCTTTTGCTCCCGAAGATGCTGAGGAGCAACTCGCGGAACAGGCTTGAAACCCTTCAAACAGCTACATCGGTACCTTGTGCTGGCAAAAACTAGTAAACAAAACGCCTGTGAACGGTGTAAATCTTTATTTTATACTCACAACGTTTACACATTCATAAAAGATGAGGTTTCCAGCACCGTTGTGTTGTGTGTTTGTTTTTTTTTTTTTTTTCTTTCCTCTCTCCAGCAACCTGGACGGGGAGATTTGCTCGAGATGCTCTTGCGAAGCGGCTGGTTCTGCGGAGAAGCAAATTCAAATTATTTAATGGCACGTTTGATGTGCTCCTTCATATCTCCTTCGACAAAAGCACACACCAGCATACAGGGCAGGGGAAAAAAAAATCAGGAAAACATATTTAATCTTTAGGCAGACAATACAGGAAACTATGAGGTCAAATTTTGGTGTCCCAAAAAAATGCACATGTGTAACTGTTTGACTGAGCAGCATAAATTATTGGCTCTCTACATCAGCTGCAAAAATAAAGTAGAAGAGGGGAGAAAAAAAAAATCAAACCGGGGGTAAAAAAAAAAAAAGCAATATAATACAAAATTGCATTGGTCTTTAATTTCATCACCTATAAATGAGAAAATATTGGCTCCCGTACTAAAGTTTTATTCTTTGCTTATAAATATTACGTGGAATTTTCGTTGGATATCATAAAACTGAACGATTTCTATCAAACTGTTTTAAAAAGACCTATGCAGATAACACAAATAGAGGCAATAAAGTCGCAAATCGCTTTCCAGGGGAACCAAATGGCGTCTGAAGCCTACGAAAGCTTTCAGTGGGGTGGGGAAGGGGCACACGAAATAGGATTATGCACTTTTAGGCTTTTTCGGCCTAAGATATCGAAACTTGTCCCACTTGATGCGGAGAAAAGCCCCGCAAAGGCACTTGAAAGTTAAGTCGAAGGGAATTTTACAGCCCTCCTTTTGAAAATCTTTGGGAAAACAGGTTTGCAGACGTGAGAATATTTAAGCAGGACTTTGCCCTAAACCGTTACAAATCACCCCAAACGGTCAAGTTCCACTTTCCCTGCTCCAATGTAATTTTTTTTTTTTCCCTCCACGATTTTGCTCCCTTTCCTTTTTTCCCCACTTCTTTTTCTTTTTTTTCCTTCTTTTCCTTTTTTTGCCTTCTTTTCCTTTTATTCCTCTTCTTTCCCCCCCCTCCCTTTTTTCTTTTTTAAATGAAAGGTGGCGTTTTCTTTTTGTTTCCCTTGAAAGTGACTCTGAACCCGTCTCTTTCTAACCGTAATGATCTTGAAATTCCGGGCTATCTCCCTTTTTATTTATTTATTCGCCATTGCCCTAATCCGCCGCTTCACCTAAAATCAGAGTTCACCCACCAGCACGGCAACACGCCGGGGTAAATGATGAGAAAAAAAACTATAGAGCTTAATTAGAAATTAGAAAGCAATAAAGAAAATAAAGTTGGGGACGAGGGCACGATAACCACGAAGGTTTAAATTCCGTCGTGTTCAGGACATCAAATCTTGCTCGGAGGTTTAAAATTTAAAAGAAAACAACAACTTGAGCTGCGATCGCAGCGAATTGAGCCACGAAAGAGGAGAGAGGAAATATTGGAGAGAAAAGTAACTTTCCTCGTGAAACCACCCCAGGAAAAAAAAAAAAAAAATCCGACCAAATCGGGAAAGTATCCGTTTGCAAAGCTTTCTGCGTGATATTTAGTGAGTCCCAGGTTGGATATTTTTTTTCTTTTCCCCCAGCAGATATTTCCCGGAGAGAAAGAGGGAGCAAACAGACGGACAGGAGGGGAAAAAACCCACCACACCACCGCACTCTCGCAGTTCACCTTCTGGAAGTCGCTCCCTTTTCACAAATTCGACCCCTTTTTTCCTCTCCACGAGGATTTTTTTTTTTTTCCCCCCACACACATACCATTTTAACCCAGAAACTTAAGACAGTTGGGGAATGAAAGTGGATAATTAAAAAAAGCTGTTTTCGCAGAGTCAGGGAAGGCGAAGCTGCTTTACTGCCGTGGATAAAAAAAAAAAAAAAAAGAAAAGAAAGCAAAACTAGGTTTTCAACGTCTTTTTCTCTATTAAAAAAGCTGCTTGGGAAATATCAACCTGCTCTAAGGAGCTTCAGGGTTCCGGGGAAATGTCTGGCTGAAGGGTCTCTGAATTATTCCCCAATTTTCCTCCCTCCCCTTTCTCTTCCCACATCTCTCTCACAGCAGCGAAAGCAAAGCGGCGCCGAGCGCATCACCCCAGCGTACCCCCAAGTCCCATCCAGACCCTCTCCCCCCAAAAATACCCCCCCAAAATTAAATAAGAATAAAAATAACGCCAAGAAGAAGCGGCGCAGCAGCCGGCTC